CACATTTGTGTAAATTCTCTCACGTTAATAGGGTGAATAGACCAGAGTCATTTAGTGGACGTACTCATGGTTTTGGCACCATCACGTCTCTCTCACGTGCTCAATTGGCAATATGTAGCGAAATCATTTTGAGCAGCTAAGCATGATGGTAGTTGTAGTCCTGAAATGTGTTTTGCTTTTGCTAATAAACAATTAGACCTCGAGGTCGAGTGGACTACGAGCTAATAGCCCATGAGGCCGAGTCCTCAAGGCCGAATGGGCTATTAGCTCGTAGTCCAAGAGGCCGAGAGGTCTAATTGTTTTAGTATAAACATACTAATCGGTCAAATAATGAAAACAAATTGAAATATCCTTAAAATAATTTATAATTTATTTATTTTGATTTTCCCRCGAGTGGTCTATCACAAATTAGACCATTAGTAGAGTAGCCAATCACAGCGCAGTATGAGTGATAGACCATTAGTATGTTTATACTAAGTCAAGATAGATGTTGTAATACCTTTTTCTCTAAAGAAAGCGAAATAAAAGCGAGTTATTTAGGGTGAGGACTACAACTAACATCATGCTTTGCCAATAGAYATTGCTTATTGAAAGAAAAACTCAATGATTTTTGGTAATTTTAGGACCATTGAAGTAAATGTTGTACTATCGACATTTTTGACGCTAGAAAATATTCAAAGCTTCTTCATCTTTTTTGATAGGTCATGTCGGTCCACCTCTGCCTTGCAACAAGATCAAATTAGTAGATGTTCCTGAGATGAATTACTATGCTAAAGATGGCAAGGGCGAGGTAAGAAGGACTGGAACTAGAAATTTTGACCGGGGTGGGGCACAGRCCAGCCAGGATCAATTCTTTCGGCGATTATGAACTCACGGTGTCGAAGTACGAACCGTGGGTTCGAGCCTCGGCTGAAATAAAAACTTTTCTTTTTCATCCTTTTTTTTACGGAAATATAGTCGTTTATATCATATGAACTTATTCCTGAAGCGGATTTTTTTTTTCGAGGCGTTTTTTAATTTTTCCTCACCACAGTCCTCTTTGGTCTATTTCTAGATTCGGTATAAACATATTTTGTTCATCCTTCCAAATATGGCGTTATTTGTACTAAGGATAGACCACAATGCACCATGATTTTGTATTTCAGAAAAAGTCAATTTGAGGAAATCTTTATWAAAACGATGACTTCTCATCTCAATAGTTCTATTAAAAATAACTCAAATTCTTGATCTAAGGAAGTTGGACTTGCTATGATAACCTATATATTTTGAATTTGCTTTATTGTAGATCTGTTTTTATGGTCATAATGTATTCAAGGGATACCTTCACCAACCTGATAAAACAAAAGAGGCCATTGATGAACATGGCTGGTTACATTCTGGGGACATTGGAGAATGGACAGAGGTTTGTATTCTTATTCCCTTTTAATCCCAAAAGCTATTTAGGGAARCAAGGGTGGCCGAGCGGTGATAGCGCTGGMCTRTCATCTCTGTGAACCCTGTTCGAATATGGAACGGGATATTATATAAGATTTCGTTTTCTCCCTTACTTCGAGGGTTTTCTGGGTCTTTCCGGGTTTTCCTCCCTCAGTAAAAACGAACAATTTCTTTCTGCTGTGCTCCACGATCAGTCGACGTTGTTATGTAAATGAAGCGCCTAGCCGGCAGCACGCCTTAGCCTCCTCCCGAGGCAACTCCTTTTTCCTGCTTTGGGCTTCCTTTGTAACGGTCATAATGGCCGTTAGGGACTCTCTCGTCCCCATTCTCCCTCTTTTGACTCCCAAAAAGGACAGGAAGCCCGTGATTCTTAGTGATTCTTTGCGGAAAAGCAAAGCACGCCTATGTGTAAGCGTCTGTCAAATGTGTCTGTAATATAGCACTTCGACTTGAGAGCGCGTCGAGCTGCGTCTTTCGCAATTCAGCACCCATGCTGCCATGAAGGACGATTAGCACCCAACACCTTTTCCCTTCTTTATTGTTTTTCACTCGTTATGCTAATAAATTTTTAATTTTTGTTTTTCTTAGAATGGAACTCTTAAGATCATTGACAGAAAAAAGCACATCTTCAAGCTTGCTCAGGTATCACTTAAAATGTGTAAATAGCAGTACCGTATCTGATTACAATAACAAGTATGCTGCCTGAGTAAAGAACTGCCCTAGTTCATTATGACGTCACATCAAAACATTCTATTGTTTTAACGCTAAGGATTATGGTCGCCAGAAGGGATCAGAGTGACTGCATATCAAATAAAATGTACATGAGCAATCATCTATACATGATATATATCAAAACACGATTCA